ACCCTCCTCAACTGTGGGCTGCTCCAGGCGGGACAGGTGAGAGAAGCAGCCAACAGCCTGGGGCTAGAGCAGAGTTTCTAAGCTCTTGTGGGCCATAGACCTCACTGATCATCTGATGAAAACTACAGAGACTTTCCCTATAAGTATGTGCCTACACATTTCCACCCAATTTCAGAGGGTTCAAGTCCCCTCCAGAATCTCATCCCAAGTTAAGGACTCTGAATAGAGAGTAACTTTTTTTATGTCAAAAAATGTAAATTAATATCAGGTAGTGGTAATAGGGACAGTCTGCAGATGGATTTTTTTTTTAAACTTCCTAGCAGATAATTTGGCAATACCAAAGACCAAAATTAAAAAAAAAAATACTATGTTCCAACAATTATATTTTGGGAAGATTCATACAAAGTTAACAACTAAGGGTTTGGGGAGAAATTGTTATAATGGTATGTATTTAACAGGGAAAAACCTAGCACAAGCCTACATGTCCAATGATAAGAAATGGTTAAATTATGGAACATCTCAAATAAAGGTTTTCCCACATATACCTGGGGCCTGAAAACAGGAGAGGTGTTCTCCTTGCTCTTCATTGCTGCTTCCGGATCAATTTTCTTCCTCCCTCCTTCATGAGCTTTGGTATATGCCAATGACCAGGCCACCTCCTGCTAATAATAGCATCTACCAACCTCTTGGTCACTATTCCTTTCTCATTGAACATTCAGCATCTGGTACCTCCCTCCCTCTCTCTAACACTACTCCTGCCATCGCTGCTGGTTGCTTCAACATCCACCCAATAATATCACAGCCTCTCAGGTTCTTAAACTCCTCACCTCTATCCTACCTCAGCCACCACTTCCCATGTCCCTCTCCTAAACCTCGGCATCACCAATAATTGCACCATTCTCTGAAATCTCAGTTTCAAGTGTCGTGTTCTTTGACCAGCTTGACCTTCCCGACATTTATACCCCTACTCTAATACCTTCACCTATTGAGATCCTCTGCTCATGAACCTTATCCCCACTTTTCCAAACCTCTTCATCCCCCTTCCACTCCTGTTACCCAGCTTAAATTCCAGGGTCCATCACTCTAATTACTCCCTTGCAAAGACTTGTAAGTCCCTTTTCTTCTTTCCACCTGTGGAACTCACATGAGAAAATCCTGACTTTGGTTAAACCCAATTCTTCACCCACTCCAAGACTGCACTGAGTAGCTGAATGTTGCTGAGAAAATCATACAAATGTAATGACTAACCTCACTTAAAGTAATTAACCACAAGTCTCAAATGAACATGGCACTGACTAGCATTCTTACTATTTCCTGGCCGATTTGCTTTTTACTCTGTGTAGTGAGTTGAAAAATGCACCCCAAAATGTATGACCACTCAGAACCTGTGAGTGCAAACTTAACTGGAAAAGGGGTGTTGGCAGGTATAATAAAGTTAAGTGTTTCAAGATGAGATCATCCTGGATTAGGGTGGGCCCTAAGGGCAATGATGAGTGTCCTTGTAAGAGAAGTGACAGATACAAGAGGCTCATGGAGAAGGTGATGTAAAGATGGAGGCAGAGATGAGAGTGATTCGTCTACAAGTCAAGGAATACCAAGGATATCATCAGCACCACCTGAAGCTAGAGAGAGTCATGGAGTGAATTCTTCCCTCGAGCCTTCAGCGTTTGTGGCCTTGCCAACTCCTTGATTTCAGACTTCTTATCTCCAGAATTGTGAGAATAAATTTCTGTTGCTTTAAGCCACCTGTTTGTGGTAATTTTTTATGTCCGCCCTAGGAAATTAATACACTAACTAAGAAGATCATTTCATAATTTATCCTCCCTCCTAAAGCCCCCAACAGTCCCCCACCACACTCCCACCACCTGGCTTCACAGGTAAAGCAGAAGTAACCTGTCTCAGCTTCCCACCCTGAAACCTACCACACTACCTGCATGTGTTCCAGATACTCCTCTTTTCCTCCCTTGCAAGACAGTAAGTGTTCCTGGTACCTAAGGGCAAGCTCTCTCCACCCCATCCTCACCCACCTTCTCAAGGTTCCCCTCCCACAATTATCCCCCTCCCTCTTCCGCATCAAACGTTTATTCCTCCACAATGAATCATTCCATCTGCACATCAAGCTTTCGTATCTCCCGTCTTAAAAACAAAATTATCAAGTAAAAACCCTCTTGCCTCCGCACTTCCTCTGGCTATTGCCGCATTTCTCTGCTCCTGGCACAACACGACTTCTCAAAAGCATTATCCATATTAGCCACTCACCTTCCATTCTCTCTTCTTCCCCTACTGCATGGAAACCACTTGTCACGGTCACCCACAACCTTCCTTCCCAAATTCTATGCTCAATTTACTGGCATTTCAGAAACATTTAAAACATCTGACCACACCCTCTTTGAAACACTATTCTTTCCTAGCTCTACACCACACTCTCCTGGCTTTCCTCCCACCTCATTTAACATCCTTAGCTGGTTGCTCTCACTTGGGTCCCTAAATGTTATCGTGGGGTCCTCTTGTCCGACTCTCTTCTTGGTGACCTCATCTAGTCTCAGGGCTTTAAACACCAACCATACGCGGATAACTCCCAAATTGCTATCTATAGCCCAGACCCCTCCCTTGGGTTCCAGATTCAAACATCCAACTGCCTCGTCATCACTTCTGCCTGGTTCTCTAAAAGGTAGCTAAAACGTAAAGTGTCCCAAATGAATTCTTGATTTCACACATATGCACATGAACACACACACACACACAAAAGTGCACTTGCACACTTATTCCACAGCTGAATACATTGTACTAAATCCACCAATTATTGACACCAACACCTAGTTTAGGCATCACCCTTGATTCCTCTGCCTTCCTCACCCCCACATCCCATCCATCTGCAAGTTCTGCCTGTTCTCCTGCTTAAAACCCTCCACTGGTTTCCTATCACACTGAGAATAAAAATCCAAACTCTGACATCATCTTCGACCGCCCACCCCATTGTCATTCAACACTGTCCCCTGCCCCTTCCCACTCCAGCCCTGCCCCTAACCACTCCAAGCTTAGGGACTTCACACTGGTATTCCCTTTTCTTGGAATGTTCTTCTTATGGAGGATTATGATTCTATGCCCAGTACATAGTAGGTGCTCAATAAATAACAGTTATTATTAATTAGGTTTAGATCAAGGGTTAGCAAACATTTGCTATAAAGAGCCAGATACTATTTTAGATTTTGAGGGCCATAAGGTCTCTGTTGCCACCATTCAACTCTGCCATCACAGCATCCAAGCAGCCACAGATAATATTTATTTATTTTTTTTAATTTACTTATTATTTATTTTTGGCTGGGTTGGGTCTTCGTTGCTGCACACGGGCTTTCTCTAGTTGCAGCAAGCAGGGGCTACTCTTCGTTGCAGTGCGCGGGTTTCTCATTGCGGTGGCTTCTCTTGTTGCGGAGCATGGGCTCTAGGACGTGCGGGCTTCAGTAGTTGTGGCGCGTGGGCTTCAGTAGTTGTGGCTCGCGGGCTCTAGAGTGCAGATTCAGTAGTTGCGGCGCACGGGCTTAGTTGCTCCGTGGCATGTGGGATCTTCCCAGACCAAGGGTCAAACCCATGTCCCCTGCATTGGCAGGCCGATTCTTAACCACTGTGCCACCAGGGAAGTCCCACAGATAATATTTAAATGAATGAGTGAATAAAACTTAATTTACAAAATCAGGCTGCAGGCCAGATTTAGCCTGTGGGCCATTACTTTCAGACTCCTGTTATAAATGAATAAGTAATGACAAGAAGAGATGTTTCCCTCTGTACTCCATGAAAAACTCCATTATTAAAGAATATAAAGAGTATGATCCCATTAAAAAAAAATACACACAAGATCAACACCGAAATGTGAACAGCTGTTATCACTAAGTGGTGAGATTACAGGTGATAACTATTTCTTGTTTTATGTTATCTATTTTTTCCACAATTGTCCATGTATTCAATGTTTAGCTTCCAAGATACTGTGGAGTCTTCCAGAAGCTGACTTCTAACTCCCAAGCTGAAAAGATGACAACATCAATAACACCAAAGAAGGTGGTGTAGTCTCCTCTTAGAAGCGTTTGTCTGAGTGATTTTGTTCCCGGATTCCCTACAGTTGCTGATGACGTTGGCAGTTCTCAAATGTAGGGTGTGTGCAGGTGACAGAAGTTAGCTCTGACCTAGTTACAGCACATTTTAAATTCTAATGAAATCGGCTTCACCTTGGGGATCCCAGCGTGAAAGAAGAAAAGGGATTTTTTTTCTTAATGGCACCAAGCCCACGCCTCTTTGCTCTGGATGCTTCATGACAATCAACACAATTTCCAATCACCTGTCAACATCAGATAGAAGTGTTCAAATAATTATAAGCAGCTTGCATGATGTGGGTTGTTCTTCTTGTCCCTGACATATTCTCATTCCCAGTCCCCTAGAAAGTCCATAGTGTCTCCAAAAACAGAAACAGAGGTGGCCTCATCAATAAACAAGGAGAACCTGCCTCTGTGGGATAATTTCAGCGTTTCTAGGATGCAACATGATGTCTAAAATTCCACCATTAGAGATCAACCAAACCTACTCTTCGAGAAGGTAATCTTTTTGACTTGTATGATCAAAACGACTTTGTATTCTGTGAAAGCACATTGAATACAAAACTCTATAGAGATGTAAGGTGTCATCAGATCCTTTGCCATTTGTACCTTCTGTGCAAACTCAGGTTTTATTGGGACAGAAGAAAGAGGGGATAAAGATGCTGGTTATGTGAGAGGGTGAAAAATTGGTGGTCTTAAAGTGAAAGAAAGACAAAGACTGAGAGACTGGCCGGAGGCCAAAGATACCCTTTACCTGCAATACAGTCTTGCCCAGGGCCAGCCCTCTACACTGCATTCAGCTGCTCAGAGCTTCTGATTCCAATCACAGGAATTCAGAAACGTCAACCAGTCAGAGTTGGTTTCACTTCTGGAGAAGTAATACACAGGAACCACATAAGACATTTACGACTTTACCTCTGGTGATAATGGAATCTGAGGCTTCCCACAAACTGGCAGCACTTGTCTCAGTGGCCTCTGTTTTATTCACTGAACCTTTCTGCTGCTTTCTGCTCTGCTTACTGGGCAAGCTTTTCTTCTTCCCATATTTGAACTTGCTGGGTGCTCCGAACCTAGAGTTCAAACTGTTGAACAGAATAGTCTGTGCACTGTTCTTCATTCATTTTTATTCTATAAAGATTACTGTCTACTATGTGCCGGCACCATTTGGGCACTTTTCCAAGCTACATCTCTCTTGTGCTCAACAATTCTACCAACCCTCCCTTGAAGCCTCTCTAGATCCATTCCATCTGGGTCAGTCCCTTGAGTCTCTGCTTTTCTGCTCCAGAATCTTCAGCATTTTCTTCATTTTCCCAAAAACTTGACACCTCCATAATATTCCTGTACAGCTCATGGGTAGCAGATGTTTTTGCCTACCCTGCATCCCTACCACCCTACTTTAATAATAGCTAACTAGAAATTTAAATCTCAGGCAGAGAGAGGAGGGCAGAAAATACCTTGAAGCTTGTTTGACAGCAGCTTCCTGAAGGGACTGTTCTTCCTCTTAGATCTCAGGAGCTGTCCAGTGGTTCCTGCCCATCCACAGCTTCTGGTTTTAGGAGCTACCCCTCACCTCCCAAACTTCAATGGGTGAGTGGGAGTTTCTTCAGCTAGTTTCTCTCTTCTGCTTTCATGTCATCTCTTCAGGAGAGTCAGCCCTCTGTGTCTGCAGGTTCCACATTTGCAGATTTCAACCAACCGAGGATGGAAAATATTTGGGAAAAAAGATCCCAGAAAGTTCCAAAAGGCAAGACTTGATTTTGTCACATGCTAGCAACTACTCACATAGCATTTACATTGTATTGGGTACTATAAATAATCTAGAGATTACTTAACATGTACTAGAGGATGTGCATAGGTTAATATGCAGATACTACTGCCATTTTATGTAAGGGACTTGAGCATTTGGGGGTTTTGGTATCAGAGGGGATCCTAGAACCAATCTCCTCCCGGATTCCGAGGGACAACTGTATGTAGTTTTTCCCACTCTGCTCAGTCAGGGCAGGCATCTCCTATTTTGCTTTCGTGATAAGCCAAAAAGCATTTGAGAACCTACTTCAGGACTTCATGAAGAGGATGAGCTAAACAGCTTCTCACCAATTTAGAAAGTTTCTTTTTAAAGACTAAATATAATGAACAATAAAATATTCTCAAATTAGTTTTTATAAACTGTTCTAAAAAGCTGGGAAATAAAAGATGAATCTTGCTATCACAGTAGCCCAAAAGAAATACCCATAAGGAACCAAATTAAGAATGTAAGGTCACAGCTATGGAAAACAAGTGAGGTAAACTGAGGAATGGGATTTTCCATACTTCATTTTCTATTCTTTTTTTACCTGAGGAGTTGCTGTAAAAAGTAAATGAGGTAATGAATGTAAAGTGAATGGAACAGTACTTCATGCATGGTAAATGCTCAGCAAACGTTATTAATCCAGCGCAAACTTAAGATAAAACAAAGTCTAAGTAAGTGAACTAATGAATGTAAAGTGAATGGAACAGTGCTTCATGCATGGTAAATGCTCAGCAAACGTTATTAATCTGGTGCAAACTTAAGATAAAACAAAGTCAAAGTTAACTAACTTAAAACTTGGCTAGTGTTAAAGAATATATATTTTTAAAGATAAAATCATGACTCATGGGCTTCCCTGGTGGCACAGTGGTTGAGAATCTGCCTGCCAATGCAGGGGACACGGGTTCGAGCCCTGGTCTGGGAAGATCCCACATGCCGCGGGGCAACTAGGCCCGTGAGCCACAACTACTGAGCCTGCGCATCTGGAGCCTGTGCTCTGCAACAAGAGAGGCCGCGATAGTGAGAGGCCCGCGCACCGCAATGAAGAGTGGCCCCCGCTCGCCGCAACTAGAGAAAACCCTCGCACAGAAACGAAGACCCAATACAGCCAAAAAAAAAATTAAATAAATAAATAGCGTTCCCTTTAAAAAAATAAAATAAAATAAATGTTAGCTCAATAAATGTAAATCCTAGCACATTAAAAAAATAATCATGGGGGCTTCCCTGGTGGCGCAGTGGTTGACAGTCCACCTGCCAATGCAGGGGACACGAGTTCGTGCCCCAGTCTGGGAAGATCCCACACCGTGCACAGCGGCTGTCCCGAGCCTGTGCTCCACAACGGGAGGGGCCACAACAGTGAGAGGCCCGCGTACCGCAAAAAAAAAAGAAAAAAATCATGACTCATATAAATCTAAGATGAACACATGTCAAAGATTTTTATTTACTTCATGAATGAAGCAGGAAGATGTTACAAGTGGTTCAAGGATAATTCAAACAGCAGATCTAGATCTAGGTACCTAGATAGATAAATAGAGATAGATCGACAGATGTATATAGACAGAGATAGGTAAGCAGACAGATAATCTAAATCCGGCTATGCCATGGAATGAATTTACAAATAAATGGAAAACTGGGTTTTACTGAAACTATTGATCCCCAAAAGGAGATAATTCATTTACATATCTATAGACAAAATTCATTGCATTGATATCAATTATCTACAATTTACAGTTTCAAAATAGCTCTAAGACAATAAAGGATGAAAATCCCATAGAATCTGACAGCCCAAAGGACATGACCCAGGTACAGTTTTCTATGGAAGACACCTAATAATCTTTTTTTTCATCCATTTCATACAATTTTTCTTTACACAGAAAAGAAACTCTTAAACAGAGGAGTTTTGTGTAATTAAACCCAGTCTCCTTTATGTAAGAAAAACTGACTATGACATCATGCATTCCAACTTTGAAGCACTGAGATAATAAAGTATAAAGAAGAAAATAAAAATCCCCATATTCCTACCACTAAGAAATAACTACTGTTAATACTGGTAGTGTATTCATCTAATTGTTTCTACATATATAGGTGTGCATGTATGTATATATAGCAACTGTTTTCAGATCAGTTTTAATAAACTTTGTTCTAGAAAAATACATATATATTCAATTCTATTATATATACCAATTTGTAATCTGCTTTTCCCCTTTGTATCATAAACACTTCTCCTTATCATCGTCATTTTTTTTTTTTTTGCTGTACTCAGGCCTCTCACTGTTGTGGCCTCTCCCATTGCGGAGCACAGGCTCCGGACGCGCAGGCTCAGCGGCCATGGCTCATGGGCCCAGCCGCTCCGCGGCATGTGGGATCTTCCCCGACCGGGGCACGAACCCATGTCCCCTGCATCGGCAGGCAGACTCTCAACCACTGCACCACCAGGGAAGCCCATCATCGTCATTTTTAATAGCTACAAAATATTCCATTATATGAAAGAACCATAATCTGTTTAACTAATCTACCACTATTAGAATTTTAAGTTGTAACCAATTTTTAGTTATTAGAAATAAAATAATGTGCCTCTCCTCTGACAACCTTTCTCTTGCAGTGGTATCAGCTTTGCTGAAAAAGCCAAACATTTCACATGGTATCTGAGTTTCCAGTGGATGTTGGGATCCCTAGAGAACCTGATCCACCTCTTCTGCTTTAGCTAATGGGCCTACATATTGCATCAGTGGCAGGCAATAGAATGAGGTTTGCCAGCTACCTGGAACCACGCTTTGTTCTTATCATCTTCCTGAGACACACCATAAAGATTCAGCATGATCAGCATGAGATCTGATGTTCAAGGCCATTTAATTCGTGATGATACTGTCAGTACAAATAGTTTTTAATACGAAAGTGTTCATATGAAAAACATATATTATTTAGGATCCAGATTCTTAGAATGAAGAGTCTGAGAAAGCAAAGAAAAAACAGCTTTCAGGTGGGTAATAAATTACAAAAACTTTTCTTGCTTTTCAGACCTTGATTTTTTATATGAATTTGCATTTAATTAGAAGCTGACGTATCGACAGGAGCACAACACAGAACTGGCCCTCCTCATGAGAATATCAGATCCAGTCTTGCTGTCCTCATTCTAAGGAATATTTGAGAAAGGAAATCATAATCTAAAGGAAATGTCTCAAAGCCCTCCAGGCTATCATTTAAAAGATGTGGTTGTTGGACTTGGCACACCGTCAGTGATCGATATTTGCTAAACAGATAATAAAAAATTGACAACCAGCTGTGTGACTTTTGGGGGAAGGGGAATAACTTAAGTTAGTGCTTCCATTTTTTATTTCCAAAACTTACCACCTTTTCCATTTATTCATTCAAAGATAATGTACACTGACTATTTTATTCTCTTTCCATGGAGAAATTACTCCTCCCTAGTTAAAAAGGCTTCAAAAAGAGCCAGAGTTTAGTTTGGGCTAAGAAAGATACTATAATAATAATAATCATAAAATAAATCAGATTTTGTAATCAGCTATACAGAGGACTTGTGGAAACTATACCCCCAAAGACTTCTGAAAATAGCATAAACAAGGACAGTATAGTGACCCTATAGGTATAACAGCACTTCCAAAAAACAGAAGGTAGACCAGATGAACTTTTCAGGTCTTCTCTAGCTCTGGAAAGAAATCAACTAGACTTTGTGTTATTTATAAAATCAATTGGTGATTTCCCTAAAATAAAGCAGATATAACTGTAGCTTGGAGCTTGCTACCTACTGCTCAAATGAAAGTTACATAGGATATAAAATCAGGCAACAACAATTAAGCAACATTAGTGTGCCTACTATGTGACCCAAGTGGACACACTGACTTGAGCACTGTCAGAGACAGAACATGATGGGATGGATCATAGGGCTGAAATAACATAATAATTCTCTAGGTCTCATATTCCTTCTTATCCCATGTGGCAAAATCCAAGCCACAGAACCTACTGTATTGTACTAACTCCTTCTGATAGTGACCTCACTGTTTCTTTGACATAAACACTCTTTAGTGTTCGATACAATGTGGTGTTGGGTCAATTCCATTCAATCTTTAAACGTCTAGTATTTGTCAGGCACTTTACTAATCACAAGAAATGCCAAAAGCACTTTCTCCATATGCTGCTAACTGCCCTCTGGATTCTGTGAGTGAGCTGGTCTGCGCTCAATTATTCTCATACTCCCTCCTGGGAAATACCTGGAAATGTGCAAAAAGCTCTGGCAACATGTCCCTTCCCATGGAAGTCTGAGCATGACTTACTGATAAGGAACTGCAGCTGCACTAACACGCAGTCTCCCAATGGCTCCCTAAAAGGTGTCACAAGAAGGCAAGCCTTTCCTGACATTTTCAGCAGACCCACCATGAGAATCTCAACCCAACTGAATATGAGAAGTGGTACCACTATTTCAGGTTTTTAGGAAAAAATCTTTGTAACCATGTCCTATAGTAAGCCTTCGCTTGGGGAAAAATATATTTAACCTCAAAAAAAAAAATCATCATTCAATAGTTACACATTTTTAAAGTGTTGTGAAAAACAAAGAACGGAATGGGGGAAGAGGTGTTCCTTTACTGTTAGGCTGTTTTGTATTTAATTATATTAACAGAAAAACCATCTTAAGTAAACTCTTACATTTCTCCTGTGTTGTATTCAATAATTTTAGAGGTAAGAAAAATCTAGTCTTATGAAACATAGGGATTAGAAAAAAATTCTAGCACAGGGCAGGGACAAATTCTAATAACATAGGTATGCTGACCTCTTGATTCTTTTAACAACTAAGCTGTAAGATGGAAATCCTGAATTTTTAAAAATCACTGCCTATAACATTGATTTTTTTTTTTTTTTTTT